AGATTTTCAGTACAAATCGGCAATTTCATACTTTAACCCCTATTATTTTTAGGTGCCAAAAAAACTGTAGGTGCCAATATCTCGAAAGTTACCGAAATGCAAATGCGTTAGTTATGACAAGGAGGACTGCACCAAGGAGGTTGGATATCGTTCTCGAATCGAAGAACGCTTTCCGAGTTATTCGAATTAAACGTTCGATTCGGATTCGGATACGATATCGTTATCCAACACGTTTACGGAGGTAGTCGGTAAAATAGATTATAAGAAAAATGAAAATCCTTTTATATATTTTTTAAAAACTTTAAAGGCCTAAAATATACGAATGCATTAGTCTTGCATTAAAATAAATTCATAAAATTGAACTAAATGGAGACTTTATTTAAAATAGTAAGATATTTCCACATTAATTCTTGCTTTGTAAACAATATGACGTTCGGCAACTTTCATTCGATAACTGTTCTGAAACGTTTGTAGCCTTTGCCGGTCGAGAAGTTCGAGTAATCATACGGGTGTGACGTCATTTCGGTTCGGTTTCGAATAGGACAGCTTGACGCTCGATTCGGGTGTTGTAAATAAAAATGAAAAGAAATCGGTCGACAACTGAGTTATCGTAAGGTTCTGAATCGACCTCCAGATTTGTTATGTGTCGCTTTCCACCATGCTCACGACTTGTTCGCCCTGTCAATTGATATCATAAAAATAGAACATTCGAATCGTTGAAGATTTTTCTGTACGATATTTATTTATTTATTTATTATTTGATATACCGTTAAAAGCTATCAATAACAGATATTTTATACAAGCTTAATGCAAACCAAGTGAGACCAGCAGAACTAATGAATGCTACCGTAAACTACCGTGAGAATGACTCTAGCTAATGAGTTTTTAATCATTAGCTTGAATCAACGGGAAATGAAACTTGAACAAATGTCGTGTCGAATGTATCAATTGGCACAGAGTTTGAAGTTGCATGACCTCATCCGCTTTCCATCCACGACGGAACGATCGCCGGAAATTGACGAGCTTTTGAATTGGTACATCGAACTGATCTAGAATGAGATAGACGCGTGTGCAGGCCAGGATATTGGAGAAGCGGCGGAAATGGTTGAAAACGGCACATTGTTTATACTTGGAAGATGTGAGAACTTTTAGTAATAATAAAATGTGCAGAATTAGTATTTATATATTACAATAGAGCACATACTTATATACTTTATTGTAATAAATAAAACAGTATAGGAATAACTTGTTATTTTAGGAAGGCTTCCTTTCGAACTCATTTTATCCTTGTTTGAAAATTGAAAGTATAAGAGAGTAAAAGAAAGCAAAAACATAAAAATCGGAGAGAATGTTGTGGTTGGCTACCCTATACGATAAGATGACTAAAGTATTAGAGCTGGGATCGAAAGCAAAATGGTTGCCCAAGCGAGGAAGACGAAGAAAAATCTATTTTGACCAGATACAGAGAAAAGTGAACACCATCTTGTATAATCAGTGATACAGAATGGTGTTGAGTAAACGGTCTATGTTTGCACGATCCGCAATATTACGTGCGCAAACTGCTTTGGGTTGTGAGACTGTATACTTTTTAGGTTATCATTTTGTTATTACTAAATGACTTCTTGTGTGGTTATGGAAGATTTGTTCAGACATCAAGTGATTGTGTCTTAAAAAAGTATGTTGAGGTCGTCTATAAATTTGTTTTCTGATATATACACGACAATTTTCGCGACATTATCGACTATTCGAATAATCATGTTTTCCCTGTATCGCCAGTATAATGTATTCATTTAAATAATAAAATAAATGAATTGACTTGAATTTAAATTATTCAGACTTAAGTATTAGTCTATCTTTAGAGCTCCCGACTTGGTTATGTCAAATGTGTGGTAATTAGATGTTTTAATCTGTTGAATTTTATTTTAATGCTTCAGAAACTAATAGTCGTAGTAAAAAACGTATCTACATAATTTAGATTAGAAATTGACATCGAGTTTCCTAAATTAAAACCATAATGCTTCAAAAGATCGGCAATCACATGCGATAGGTCTCGGCTAGATGTACGCGATCTATAAAATTTTTAAAAACATTAAGGCCATTTTTATAAAGTATTTTTATTTCTAGTTATACATATCCAATTGAGAATCTTGATCTATCATTCCTAAAGTCTGTTCAAACCTTCAGATAATGTTTACTATGAAATCCGGACGTTTTGTATCGTTGCAACATAATGTGTTTATCGCATTTGTAGCGTCGGTAAATAAACACACTCCTTCCGCACCAACATCGTTTGTTATTCTCCAGTCTATTCCATTCATAGATACGCTTGCTTTTAAGCTGTTAGTATAACGTATTCCACCAATTTAAATCCAGTTGATTACTCAAGTTAATACATTATTAATCCACTTAATAGATAAACAGCTTTTTGCGTTTCACTAATTTAGTTTTTGGTAATACCAGTTTCGCGACTCAAGTGTTCAGTCTCTGAATCACCGTTTTATCATATTAATGGTTATTTTAATACTGTATATTCGTAAAAATTAGCATCGTCTAAGAAACCTTTTTGCTGAACTATATTAGAGTCATGTGTATAACTCCATGTCTCCATGAAGAAGCTATCGTATATCGCGTTTATTTACGATGTTATGCACTTCACAGTGTCTTCGATTTCCTTTTACTACATGGTCAACTAAACTGAACCCATCTACGTTACTTATAGATGCATTGAGAAAGGCAATTTACAACTTGAAGCTACTGACACATAAAGCGTCAAAACGTATGGGTGTAGCACAGTGGGCAGAAAGTAAAGTTATCTTAGAGAGGTCAATAATGTCGTTGGCGGGAGATGGTACTGCGCGCCGCGGTGACGTAAGACCCGAAGTGATCGACAGCAACCCGGCCGTAGTAAACACGCGTATATGCGCATGCGGCTGATGTCTCGTCTAGCCGCTACGGGAGGCAGCATAATTATCATATAAATATCGATGGAAATCCATTAAAGTGTACTCAAAAGCTATTGTCTATTTTGGAATGTGGAACATCTTGAATAGCAAAAGCGTCATTTTAAAATTCATTAAAGCACGTTTTGACTGTTTACTTGTGTTGTTAAATTATCTTAAATCATAGTTTTGTTCATACTTTGGGTTTTTTTACTAAATTATGACTCAACAAAAGAAAACATCATGATGAACCTTGCATTTCAGCGAAGGTCCACAAGTATGTTCGAAGATGTTCCTTAAAACCATGTCGAGAGGATACTGTGTATAACCAACAGTGATATAATATAGATGGGTGCTAATACATTTTTTGCCTTTTTTCTAGACAATAGTTCTTGACACTTGCTTCTCGATGTTACCATTCCAATGGACGTCAATATTGCACAATATGAATGTGGAATCTTTCAGTGACACATGTAACAGTTCTATGAAAAAATATTTTATTATCCAACACTTCCTGTCATTCATAATCGCTTCACACGTGCACTGTTACGCATAATGCAAATTCTTCACGAAATGTTTATAAGACGAGTGAATACTGAAGGAATTCTTCCAGACATTTTGGAATCAAGATATAAAACATATCTAGCGATAAGCTGAGGGCTGCAGTGGACTGCAATAGGCTGCTGATGATGATGGTGGTGGTGATGAGGATATGAAACGAGTTATTGCAATTTGTGGAACATGATTCTGTATGTCAAATTTACTTTGTGTTTTATTACATGTAAACAGAGATTGCTTCAAAAATTTTAAAGTAATTATGGATATAATTATAGACTCATTAACGCTATATTATAGTATATATTTTTTATAGTGAAAATCGTGCGCTTATTAAACTTATTTAAACAGCTAATAGTTGCATATTAAGGACAAATGCTTAGACATGATTTATACGAAGTCCCGCAACTCATACTGATGGGAATATTCGATGGCAGAAGAAAGCTGGTCGTAGACCGGGATCACGAGTTCAACCCGACTGTATAGCCACGCTAGAGATAAAAACAAATGTAATGAACTGACTGCCAATCTCATTAGTAGGACATGACACTTTAAGAAGTTGAATTTAGGAAATTCGAGTTATTACACTTAGTAACATATTTTATACAAGACTGTTTTAATAATAATAATAATAACGCTCACACTCAACATAGCCCCATAGTTTTGTAAGTTTATTCCGGCAATTACAGTCACATTCACAACACCAGGTTCTCCCAGAGCGCAAATTTTTAGCTCCAAGCTTTATCGTCATTCACAGATGCGGCCGGAAACTATAGACGTGTGTGTGTGCACACGAGACTTGCGCTTGCGCACGCTGGCAAGACGGCGCGCTTGAAGAAGTTATGAAGTCATTTCTTTACTGAAGAATCCAATAACACAGACAGCTTGTGTTGTGACTCCACGCCCCATGTTTAGTCTGAAACATCGTGTAATGGTAACGTTATGTAACGTAGCTTAGAATATTTCCACGATTGAAGTGTGCAAACAAATATCACGTGATATAATTTTTTCCGGATGAATTTAATTTATCTTAGGTAATGATTTTAAATATTGAACGGTATGTCTGGAAAAATGGTGGTACCATATGGTTGCTTCTCAATTAGAGGTCGATGGCTCGGGACCCTGTGCTGGGCATGTACCTTGATTTGTTAGTGACCGTTTAGTAACAATACCTCTCGCTGACTCTGAAGGAAACCATCATCATGAAACCTGTACATCGAAAAAGGTTCACAGCCCTTTAAAAACCGTGAGGTCCCCCAGTGTGGCCAACTATAACTAAACCATCTCGTTATAGTAGACCCATGCCTTGCAGTGGGGCGTATAATGGGTTGACGATGTTGATATGATTTGTGTTTTTAAATAGTGAATCATATTTATTGTTCGCTAGGGGATTACTGTATAACTGTTTCCATCAATAGTTTATCTCATAAAATATAACTTGAAAGAAAGTTAAAAAAAGTCCAATCAAGCACAACGATTCGTAACGACATCGGTCCCATTTAAATATGTCACCTGCAGGTCATGTCTACTTCCGCCCACCACTTTATCTGCCCATCGTTGTAGATACAGTTTTATATAAATGCCCGCAAACATGTTCTAACTTGCAGGGGTCAGTTTAACCAGTTTCTATTTTCGTTGATGCTGCACGAAAGTTATGACACTTGTTCAAATTTAGGATTATATTAAGAGTGACTGGCAAGCAATAGATGCGACAAACTAGTACCGGGCGAAATGGAGGACAGTGGCAGAGGACTCCCGTCCTCGTCGTCATTGAGATATGTGGGGCCAAGGCAAACAATCGCGTAGTAGGAAGCTATTAACTATTACTCATTTACAAAATGTGCGAGGAAAAGCGATCATCTGCGCCGGTATACATATACAACGATGCCTTGCAGAGGACTGCAAGGATGACGTAATGGACGAGGACATAATGGACTGAACTACCTTTCAGTCAAGAATTAAGTGTTGAGCACAGTGGGTGTTTGTTGTACAAAGACCTCTTAGTCAGAAGACACGTTATGCTTTTAGCAACCCTCGCTACACCTATTACTACTACTATTACATTAAAACAATATTTCATTTTCATCGTTTAGCAACAATACACCAAGATTATACATTTTCTGTTGACGTATGTAGGTACATAACCATTCTCTAAAGCTCCGAAGATAGGTTAAGCAGCAAAATCGTCGAGATCACACGCAATCGGTGGATGCTGTTAACACCGCCTTCGGTAAACGCGCAACGGCAACATATCATGTGAAATCGGAGATAAGATACGCTACAGCCTGATCAAGCTTTAAGAACCAGATACGAATGGAGAAACTCGTGTAATTGATTATGATTACTTAACAGCGATTATTTCGTGTTCTTTTATAGCATTTGAAAAAGATTCTAGAGCGATTCTTTTGAGAAGATATAGAAACACACAAAAAAACCAACTATCTAATATTTTTGATGTGATAAACATTCGACTAAATTGTGATTGGTATTTGTTTCTTAGGTAACCTACATTGAACTCAGTACGAGGTAATGAGACCCTCACTTGACATCTCTTACATTGTGTACATGTAACAAGGAGTCGATACGATAACGTGAAAGAGCTGGACAAGTCACGAAGAAACGTGAAGTGTCGCCGAGGTCATTAATGTTAGATCATTGACAACACTTCACCCTGTTTTGGAACAGTGTAACCGAGGCTGACATTTGAAGTACGTATACTAGTTATGTTCTTGTTCACGCCTCAGGTATGGACAAATAAGGATTGTCGCTAATAGCTATTTAATTCCGTTTCTACCAAATAAAACAAGCTTTTCAAAATGAATAACGATAATGGCGAACTATTCTTTGTCTACATATTTTACGAGCCAAGAGTTGATTAAATACTTTCTGCTTGTATTTATAGCGTATAGGGGACCAGTCATATTACCGTTAGCTGTGTCAATGGTACCTCATCAATGAACTCTGTTATTTGCATAAACGCTAGCTCGTAACTCAGCGGCTACGACGACGCGGCTTGATTCATCTCAATTCGAAAGTTGATCGCTATCAATATACTTTTCTATTTTCATTTGTTTTTCAACACATTCGTTTAAAATGGCGATTATGAATTTGTTTCTGATTAATACCGTCGAAATGTTGATTTGTATATTGTTAGTAACAATACGTGTGGGTTGGTTGGTGTTGCTGTGATTGGAATTTACCATTTCTGCTTAAAACTATTTACCATTGCCAAATTTAATTAATGAACCCCGTCGATCTATCATTATTGTATTCCTTTTAACAGATTTGCTTCTAATGCTCACTATCGCCGGCGGTTTTTTAATGTTCGTCTCATCGAAAAGGCGATGACAATTGACCCCGGCAGATAACCGACCCCGACCGGTTAGTCACTGGTTTCGCAATATTAATAATTCGATTAAACACCTGCCTAATATATTAACCATCGATACAAAATTATTATAATTGGTTCTAGACCTGTGGCGGAAATAAAAAATGCTTCACATTTATGTATTTTGGCATAAACGAGACGATTAAGTTTCTCTTAAATTAAAATTTATAGAGCATGTAATATTTGATTTACTGACTGTATCAAACTGTATTTGTTTTACACTTTTAACGTAATAACTCATGACTACATTTTTTTATTATACGTTTCTCTTATGAATGTAACACTATAAACCTTATCGAAAGCTTTTAATTTTATTTTAGTAAAAAATTCCGCGAAGAGTTTGCTTGTCTTTTTATCAAACTTCCCAGTTCGATAAAAATACAAACACTCTTTTCTCCATTTGGACTGATTATGGGACAACGATCTAATTGAGTCCGGTACAATTTTATCCACCTCCACAGACGGTTCAAGTGTTTTAACCCCACGATAGCAACGTTTGGTGAACTACTGACCGTCTGTTGCTTCATTAAGTAAAATATGTATACAGTAGCGGAAAGAAAATAATTTCTAGCTATTTTTTTCGATTTGACCCCTCAGATCTGCAGGTTAATCTGTCCACTTCCAATCATTGGAATTGATTTCAAATTGTAAAATCCGTTGAATTTACGCCACTTAACAGCATTTTATAGGCTATTTTAGTAAATTGATGAAGGCGAGTTACCGGAGGAGAAGCTAGAAAAACTTTGCTGGATCAAATGGCTTGGGTATTTACCATTAAATAACGGTCTTAAGAAAAAATATACGATACACTCAAGGATATTCTCTAAAGAATGTGCTTATGTGTTCATATAAAATTCTGAAAACAGGGTAAAATGAAAGCTAGAATGAATTATTTAAGAGTTAAATATCTTACTTGGCTCATAATTTTTATAAGGGGATAATAATTGTCTTTAAGTACTACAGAGAACCTGCTAAGTTTTAGTTATCAACTGAAGCTCTGTATTTATTAAATTCACTAAAATTTAAAAATTGACCAGCGGTTTATTTGCCTCATCAGTCGCCATTGGGCGCTCGTCGACGTCATAACTGTGTCAAATCTTTTGCGCCTGTTCTTATTTTATTCATATTAATACCTCGTTGTAATACCTCACCTTAAACATATTTGTAACAGGCAGAACCTGCATAAAGTATCTTCGTTTTCGATCCTTACTTGCCATTTTACTGGCGGTAAACTGAAAAACTTATGCAAAAATGTGTGGAATGTTTATATTGGTTAGCCATGTCATAAAACAAAAGCTATATAAATATTTTTATCGATTATATTAGTTTTTGTTAGGGAAAGTTGTGATTTATATGCGTCTACGATTAGCGCATATTTTTTTAAAACTCGTTCTTATCTTTCGAGTTGTCAGGTTGGTGCAGGTGTGAGTTTGTTATTCCATTCTTTTCAAAGATAATTGCCAATTAAGTTATTTTTATCTATTAAAACTATAATGTGTCATCGTATGTTCCAACTTAAATATCTTTTAAGACTTAAATAGTATTGTTATTAATATAATCTTTTACAACATCTTGAATCTATTAACATCTTGTAAATGCTATAGAGGGTCTTTTGAAGATTTGACCGTAAGCATTTCCTTTCTATTCTGTGTTGTAGACGATTTCGCTAATTTGTTACGGAATATCCCATCTCATTATTATAATATCTAAAGCGAGATTCATATTTCCATAAGGAATATTTATGTGGGTGTTGTCTGGTCGTTGCCGGTTTCCGCCGATCGTCTCGCCCACCTTTGACCTGCGCACGCGCTGTTACCTCTATTCAACTGTTATCTCCATTTTTTAAATTTAATCCCTCGTGTAACGTATAGTTTGTTTCCACGTTTCCACAGCTTGTTAAAATATAATCTATCGACTTGTCGTATCGTCGTGATAGTGTCATCGTCTAAATGTGGTATGCAAGGTATTATTATACACATAAAGCTACAAATCCTGACTCACTTAGAAAAATAGAACGCATACTTCCCGATATGGTGGAAAAAATATATTTATACCGTCATACGCGGATAGGCTCCAAGGCAAAGAATCAAATATGAGAAGACCTGAATGTGGAAAATGTAAACGAGTGATCAACGGCCTGCAAAAACTATAATACATGGGGGGGATTTTTGTGCACTTTTATGACATACACCTTGGTTAATTTCTGCAGAGTGTAAAAAATGTTTGAAATTCAAATAAACATGATGGCCGCCATACAAATTTCGAAGCCTTCTATCACAGAAACTGTTAGAGATAGGTAGGAGGTGCTGGAAGGAATATCATAGAGGGGTAATAGTGGTGAACTGCCTGCGTAAAAAATAATTCAAGTTGGCGAATCCAAAATGGCGGCCGAAGAAAAACTTGCTTCGTTGCGGCTGAAAATTGGCATCTTTAGGAGTCTTTAATCATCATTTGGGGTCAAAAGTTTTTTCGCTATTTTTTAATATGGCTCCCATATAAGTGTTTTTTTTTTCGTTAAAAATAGCTGCCGAAAAAGACGCGCTCATTTTCAGCTGAAAATTGGCATGTGAAGGCCTCTAGAAGTGCCAAATAATAATTTGTGCTCGAAATTGGTTTTTCGCCATTTTCAAATATGGCCGCCATACAAGCGTTTGTTGGCAGTAGAAAAAAAATTGTTCTGATCCCTTCCAAAATGGTCATGTGAGAGTCTCTAGGAGTCCTTGATAATAATTTGTGATCAACATTAATTTATCGCCATTTTTCAATATGGCTGCCATAGAAGTATTTTTTGGCGGTAGATGAGAATTTGCTCTAATTCACTTGAAAATCGGCTCTATGGGTGTTTAATAATAACTTCCGGTCAAAATTTATTTTTCGCCATTTTTCAATATGGCTGCCTTACAAACTTTTTTTAGCGGTTGACAACATTTTGCTCTAACTCTACTGAAAATCGCCATGATGAGTTCTCTATGAGTGTTTAATAATAATTTGCAGTCAAAATTTACTTTTTGCCTTTTATCAATACAGCCGCCATTAAAGAGCTATGTTAATATTTTTAAAGTCATAAGCCCGAAGCGTCTGCACGCCACCTTCCGTAGGTAGTATACGGGGACTAGATTTCACAATTGTTCAAAATGTCAGGCATACTTCCCGATGTAGTGGAAATAATATCTTATTTACTTATACAACTTATAGGGTTGTTGTATCTCGACCGTCTCTCTGTTAGAATCTTTTTTGAAAAAATGCCAGACAATCACTTCAAATTTCTACTATACATCTTGGGAATCTCCTGTACTACGAGTACCAGAATAACGATAATTCTGAGGGCAATACCCAGAATACCCTGACCAGGACCAACTTAAAAATGTTTTTTTCATAAATTGGCTCAAATAAGGGATTGAATCTGGAACCTCCTCATCAAGCGCCCATAGTACTAATCACTGTGCCACCGAAGAGCATAAGCACACCCCTTAATCTGAAAGTGACCACGTGCCGCAGGCCGAGCCCGAACCCACCGTAGGTGGGGTATAGGGGTATAGGGATGATAAAACTAGAGACTTGAAAGCAATGAAAAAGTACTTAGTAGTTTGTAGCTAAATTTACTAGTAGCCACTTTGACTCCAAATATCACGTGTCAAAAATATACACATAAATAAATATAAATATAAACCATTAGTGTTTGTAAGTATTGCGTTCTAGTCAGTAACTCATTAGGTACCTACTGTTTACTAAATTAGTTTACAAATATCACCTTAATGACTTTCACGTAGCCTCGTCGGCTCCACGACCATCAATTAGACTAGTTTTCAATACCTTCTTAGCAACTGTGTCGTAGATATTCTCCAATCACTCAGCTCCACTAATAGCACTTAGCCTCCTCCGCTGTTGTCTCCAATAGTCATCCATTACTTTATCATGTATTACTAAAAACTTACATTGCTCTTTACTGGTTTTGCTAGTACGAGAAATTTTTTTAAGCCTTTGTTGTTTTTGTCAGAGAGTTCCTCTGTACTTGCCTTATCAGTTGTCTTCTTTGCTGTATCTTCCTTTCATTTCTTTACGAACTTCTGGTCTATGAACTCCATTCATACCATTCTTGTAATCCCATTATTTACCGAATTTATTTCAAAATCGCTCTCTTTGTTGATTAGATCAAAATCTCCATCCTTATGACGTTAGTATCAATAAACTTATTCCCACATTACCCAGATGCACTGAGTGCATTAGTATTCGTCACTGATCATCAATAATGCCCCTGTAATTGCTCGAAGCCTTGCTCAATCTAATTCTCGTAGGTGGGCTGACCTCTCAACATGCGTGGGCTGGACTTTCTATCTGCCGATCTGCCAGATTCATACGATAGCCAGCGTGAATACTGACTTGCATAAGTATTACAATTCGTA